ACGGATGCTCTTGTTGTAGTTGCAAAATGTCTGATTCCCCATCTATTTCTCTCTTCCAGTTTGCCCTGGTGCAGGCCTTCCCAGCTCCTGCTAAATCCAAGGTGAATGGGAGTCCAGAGTAGGCTGCAAGGGGACCCTGGCCAAGGCTGGGGGGCCTGAGTGCAGGTGAGGCAAATCCCAGGCTGTGTGCCTGGGAAGAGCCCTGATGTCATCATTGAGTCCGAGCTTCTAATTGACAAAGCCCAGGACTCTAGGCAGGTGAGACCCAGGAGGAGGAGCTGTGGGCCATTTATAGGAGGTGAGGAGGTGGGGTGGGGTCCATGTGCCCAGCAGCCAGTGAATGAGGGCATGTGTGAGTTGCGCCCTCCACAGTGCAGGGCTGGAGTGTGTGCACGAGTTCGGTGGCTTTTGAGCAGGTGGCCTGCTCAAAATGCTGTGTGATTTGGTTTCCTCATCTGGCCAGGTGGAGTCATTCTGGGGGTTCCTTCAAAGGGTTATGTGTTCTGAGATGGCAAGCAGCTAGGAGATGCCTCAGAGAGTAGGTCACACACAGCCAGGGACCAGTGGTCAGGACAGATGTCTGAGGGACATCTGGGAGCTGTGGGTTCTCCATTGGAGCTCCAGAAACAGCTCCCACAGACCCTGGCAATTCCATCTCACTGTTGGGATATCTTGTGTGTCACAGTGCAGACTGCCATTGTCTAAGCGTGGATAGATTTTCCTGGATGCTAGGCCTTCATGCACAGCTGCATTATTATTGACTTTTTTTTCTGAAAATGATGACTTAGACTCCCCAAAATGACAGGGCTTTGCATATGTTCTCTGATCACCTCTTCTGGTTCTGAAGCCTGCATGTAGTATGATGTGCCAGCTTTACTACATAGCTGAAGCGTGGTAGCCCAAGTTCAAGCTTGTTTGGCTCCTACATAAACGGTTATTAAGAGAGCTGCCTCTCCCCCAACATCTGCTTGAAAGATGAGGAAAGGTGGTTATTATAACCACGTCTCCCTGGGTCCCCTTCAGCCATGCATGTAAGTCAGCCACTGCGGGCTCAGGAACGAGGGCCTGGAACGTCCTGACATGCCTTCTCAGTGCTCAAAAACTCCTGCAAGGACTTCAACCTGGCCTGGAGAAGAGGAGATGCTAAAAGCTCATCATCCCTCTGCCTGGCTCGCTTTCCCTCCCCTCCTAGCCCAGGCCAGTCTTTCCCTGTCGGGAATTTTAACACTCAGCGGTCACCACCCAAGTCTGAGTGTATATTGTTTATAGAGAACTCTTCATGCCACCTTTTAAACGCAGGCCTTCTAACAGGTAAGAATGAGTCAGCTGCCCAGCTGCCAGCAACAGAAACCAACATTGGCTAATCTCGCTCCAGGATGGGATGCTGAGCTCACAGAGCCCCAGGCAGCCGAGGCTGGAGGCTGGGTAATCTGGGGAATGCCTGTGAACCCCAAATCCTTCTGATGCGTCTTTACCTCCTCACTACAGAGACTCAGCGCTGAGAAATGCATTGGATTGGACTGTGGCTGCGCTCAGCTGTTTCCAAGGCAGGGAACAGGAACACCCAAAAGGAACTAGTGGAAGAGATGAAGGCGGGTGCTGGGTGCTGGACAGAGCTCACTAGAGATGTGCAAAAGTCCCAGGAAGGAAAGTCTTACAGATGGATACGAAGATGCTCCTCCCTGGAAACACACAGGGAAAGCAGTACTTTCCACCTAAATGAATATATAGCAAATGGAATCCCCAAACAAGATCCCCTAAACACAAAACTTTTTAATAAGATTAAGTGTATTCGGTAAAAATCACTTAAAGTGCACATATATATATTTTTAAGGTAACGCAAAGCTTATATTGTTAACACAGTTGAAACGGATGCATGCCCAAATGGGCCTCCAATTAGGGTGGGGAGGGTTGAAGTATGGAGGGAGGTGGGCGGGACAAATATTTTTCGTTCTTCTCTTTTTACTCTCTTGGTCTGCTGGTACTGGGGGTGGTAGAGCAGAAAGGGGAGAGAGAAGACCACTCCTTGCTGTCAAGCGGATGGGGGATGGAGGATAGGCAGTTGGTGACTCCTTAGAATCTCTGATGTAAGGAAGAATGTTCTTAGGGTGTTACTTGAGTGCCTTTGATAACCAGCATTGAGAAAATCTTTCCAAGGTCTATGGGATGAGTAAGTCCACCTCAGTGTGCATCCAGAGCCCACAGAACTTTCTAAGAGGCTTAAACAAATTCTAAAATGCACATAAAGGCAGGTGTTTAACCCTGGGGGATTAAGATGCTCACATCCCATATTGGAGTTCCTGGATGGATTCAACGCCTGTCCCAGGCTCCTGACTCCAGCAGCTCCTGGGTGACAGTGGTGATGTGTCTACCATCCACTCCGGACTCAGTGAGCCCTGATGCCCAACTTGTCTGCCCCGGTACCCGCTGTTGCAGGCATTTGGAGATGAGGAGAGTTGTGTGTCAAACAAATAGTTTAAGTAATGGTGGCTAAAAAGACTTGTGTGAGAATATTCCTGGCAACTTTACCAAGCAGAACCAAGCTGGGAAGCACTCGATTGCCCAGGACTACAGTGACAGACACTGTGGTCTGTTCATACAAAATACTACTACTCAGTGATACAAAGTACTCATCACAGTGCTACGGATCTCAGAAACAAACAATACAACACAGCAGAGCACATCTTGCAAGATACCCATAGGAAGATCAGAGGTGGGCAAGACCCTTTTAGGGTGGAAAAGCCCTCAAGCTCAGAGGTCACTCACTCCTGGGGGGCTAGAAGAGGAAGTTCCTGGGAAAGAATGGGAGTCTCTGGAACGGGGTGATGTCTATCTCAACAGGAGTTTGAGCAACAGCTGTTTCCTTGGTCAAGACTTGGCACATTTGCATGTTTTCTTGCATGCTTGCTTTATCTTCTATGAAAAAAGAAACCAATGAACTCTAAATGACAGGCTGAATATTTTAGGGCTAAGATTACTAGTGATTGCCACGTATTGTGGGTGCACAGCAAAATACAAGGCAGATGAATGGGCGAATGTAAATAAGGCAAATATGGTAAAATATTACATCTAGATGGAGCCTATTGCGTGTTCTCTGTAAAACTATGTGGGCTTTCCTGCACGTTTGACATTTTTCATAACAAATTGCTGTGGGTTAAAAAAAAAAAGGCAACAGATGGAAGGATCAAGACTTCCTCTATGTGAGGTTTTTTGTCCAGAATACACCAAGAGCCGATCAATAGTAGGAAAATGAAAAATCCAGTTAAAAGCAAGCAAAGGAAATATAGACAAATGCTTTGTGTGCCTGAAAACATCATTCTGCTTGTGAACAGGCAACTCAGTAGTATTTAAATTAATAGTACAACTCCCCCCGCCCTCCTGGCCCTGCTCCCCAGGCTGAGAGCAACTGGAGGAAGTGGGTGCTGTGTGCTGCTGGTGGTTGACAGCATGTGCAAGCAACTATTGAAGTGGATATCCCACCTGCCCGGTGTGCACCTGGCCTCTGGCACCTGCTGCGGCCGTCCAGAGGAAGTGGTTCGCTGCGGAAGGAGGGGTGACCTCCTGCGACGTCAGAACCACCAACAGTTACGGCACTTCTAGCAAAAGCAACTTCATTGCATGTATTAATCTCCCACCCCACCCCTACCCCACCACACACACACGCGCACATAATGTCCCTTGCTATAAAGGGGTCTGGAAAAACAACATCAACTCCTACAGTGGTGAGAGGATAGGATTGGGGGTAGCAGCCAAAAGCAATTAGAAATAGTCATGTTATTCTGGTTAGGGTTTGGGGCTGTGGCATGGTAAGTTAAGCTACCACCTGCAGCAAGAACATCCCATATGCATGCTGGTTCAAGTCCTGCCGGCTCCACTTCAGATCTAGCTCCCTGCTAATATACTTTGAGAAAGCAGCAGGAGAAGGGCTGAGTGCTTGGGCCCTTGCACCCAGATAGGAAACCTGGAAGAAGCCCCAGGCTCCTGGATTCAGGCTGGCCCAGCTACCAGCAGGTATGGCCATTTGGGGAGTGAACCAATTAATTAGTGGATAGATGCCTTTCAAAAAGGTAAATTATAAAAATAAATGGTAAGGCCATCGGGCTGAACTGTCCACTGAGCACAAATGAAGAAAAGGACAAACCACTGCGAACAAAGCTCAGGTGGGCCCAGCACACGATCCCTATATGGGTGTCTGTTTGTGTTCTGGTTGCCCACTTCCCTTCTAGCTCCCTGCTTGTGGCCTGGGAGAGCAGTGGAGAATAGCCCAAGGCTTTGGGGACATGCACCTGCATGACCAGAAGGAGGCTCCTGGCTCCTGGCTTCAGCTCTATCTGTTGTGGCCACTTGGAGGGGAGTGAACCAGTAGATGGAAGATCTTGAAAAAACAAAATAACAACAGAAAACAATAAAAACATGGCTCAGTTGCCTGCACTCACTCTCTTTGTTCTTATTTCAGAGTAGCCACTTACTACGACTTGGTAAGACGTATCCCCAAACCAGATTCTCATTTTCCTCTGTCCATCCTAAGTCAGTTCACACCCTGGGTATACCAGCCAACCCCTGGACTCAGAGCCCCTTTGTCGTGAAGGCTCAGGGTCAGTGGATGTCAGGCTCCAGGCACTTGCTGGGGGACTTGAGCATACACTGCAGACTAGCCATTCCCTTGGGGCCAAAGCACACTTCCTGTTTTGTGTGTGTCTGCAAATGATGAGATGGGGTAAGACAGCTGGGCATCAACAGAACACATGGCACCTTCTCCCCTATCCCAGCCCCTTCCCACCTGCTGAGTCACGTTTGATGCCCAGGCATCACTCTCTGCTGTTAACCTCCTCAGCAGCAACTTCAACACTTCAGAGCGGTTGGCGGCACCTTGCCTTGTCTTCCAGCAAGAACTTCTCCAATCTCCCTGGGGCAGGTGTGTGGGTGGTTCAGATGTATATACAACTTCAACTGCTCCTCTGCCATTTGGTGACAACAAAAATCACAACGGCTCACCAACATTAGTTGAAAGTTTTATTTATATAAAATCCATTAAGAACATAAAAGATTGAGTTTCTTAAAAAAAAAAATCTGCAGTTATTTACAGCAGTATTGCACAAGTAAAGTGGCAATTACCCTGTCAAAATTGATCAGTGCAAAACACAAGGAAGCCAGGGAAATTGCAATACAAATGCTACATACACTGGGTCCTAGGGAACAAGGTGGTGATGGATCAGTATACACACAGATCAGTGCTATTTATACAAGGGTACCTGATGAGTTTGGATACAGTAACTCGTCATCACAGAACCTGGACAGAAAACCTAGCATCCAAGAGAGCTTCTTCGAACTGAAATTCCAAAGAAAAGTATTCAAGTTATGGAGCCGGAGGTTGAGGATGCTTCTTGCACACAGCACTGTTTGTAGCAGACCCTGACCGAGTTAGCATTCACATGTGGACACATCCCCTCACACACACATACAGGTGTGTGGTGGTGGTGGTGAACAGGCAACACGCAGGCACTGGGCTACAGCAGCAGGACGACGGAGCCCCAGTAGTCCCTGAGGGCTTCCATGAGCTTTCACATCTTACACTCTGCTCCCCAAACCCAGTGGGACCCTTCCTTCCCCCCTACAGCTGTGTTCTCACAGGGGATGGAGGGAAGGCTTGGACCTGAAACAGCAGGATGATTGCACAGTTGGGGGACAGCAGACGGCTGTGCAGTTGGCTCCTGGAGACACACAGCGCACATGGCAAAACATAGGCAGCCGTGGTTAGCTCCTTACATCCTGCTGCCCAGGGGTTGTTGGCAGCCACCCAAGCCTCGGTCCAGCGTGGCCCTCACCCCTCTAACCTTCCCTCAGCACCTCCAGGGGTGGCATATTTGCATATCCTCCACACAGGAGCTGTCAGGGGTGAAAGCTTGATGGGAAAATCCCCTATGCTGATAATACATTACTTTTTTGTTTTTTTGTTTTCAAGCTATGCTTTGGAGTTAGCAAATTGTGCTTTGATGAGAAGCTAGCTGGCTTGTCTGAAACAAACAGGAAGTTGCTGGGCATTTCTCGAAGCGGAATTTGGTAGCCAGCAGGATTTGTGTTTACCTCATTGGCATCTACATACAAGCGAAGGGCAGGAGAGTCCAAGAACTGAAACCTATTGGACCATTCACAGCAGGGACCGAAGCTGCAGGGCCGGTCGCCACCCCACACCTGGAGGGGGAAGGCAGTCCGTGGGGTAGGGGGGCCTTGGAGGGGGCAGGGATGTCTACACGTTCAAGAACTTAAGACATTAAATAAGCAGAAAATAAATATACAATGTTTCTACAAGTTACAGCATTATGAAACAGTAGGACACATTACACAGAAAAAAAAAAGAAATCTACAAATATTTACAGTCCTTGATTCTAAAAAGTTTAGAAAAACAGTGATTTTTTTTTTCGTTACTCATTGATGCTGTACAAAATTTTACAAGAAAGGTAAAGGAAACACAATTGCACACGAACATCTGGCTCAGTTGGTAAGTAAAAAAAATCTGAATTCCTACTCTAATAAATAGTCAAAATACATACAATATTAAGAAGGGAAAACAGAAGAAAATTGTATTCCATTGCATTTTTTTCTCTCCAAATCACAAGAAGTTTTAAAAAAATGTTTTCTCCATAATTCCCCATCCTAATCTCCGTCCCCCCCAACTAAAAATTCTTAAATCAACTTTTTCTGGGAAGGAAATCTAGAATCCCTTATGAAGTCCCTGTGTGTGTGTGTGTGTGTGTGTGTGCACGTGTGTGTTTATTGCATCTTGGTGCAAAGTCACAGGACACTTTTTACAAGCCTCACACGAGGAGAGGTTGTCAAGGCACAAAACCCGCTTTATGTATCCAAAAAGGGATTTTTTTTTTTTTACAAAAATTAAAAAACCAACAACAACAGCAACAAAAGCTAAAAGAGGCCTAGCCAGGACAGATACTGTGTCTGTTGAGAGGCATTGAGACAGAGACGGGGGCCCCACAGTCTGCAGCGCACTCCTTAATACTTCTACAACTCAGAGAGCCGCACACTGCCCAGCCAGCCTGGAGCCCGGGGTGGGGCTGGGGGAGACAGGGTACTGCTGGGCCGAAGGAGGCATACGCTCGCGACACACACTCCCAGTGGCCACCAGAGCCCCCAGCACCTGTTAGCAGGTGCTCTGGCTGGAGGAAGGGGAAGCACCCAGCTGAAGGGAGAGAGTAAAGTGCTCCAGTCACAGACTGGCACGTGGGTAAGGAGATCCTGGGATGGAACAGGGCAGGGGGTGGGAGGGGGAGTCCAGAACCAAGTACATCTTTGGTGTGTGACGCCCAGCAGACCTGCGGCTGCAATTCCGCAACCATAGACTGCGTGTGTGACCCCATGAATAACCTCAGAACACAACAAGAAACAACTGGAGCTTGCACATGGCTTCTGAAACTCCCAAACTCCAGGGAGGGTTCTGGGGAAAGGAAAATAAAATAATAATAATAAAAAAAAGCATTTTGGAATCAAATCATCTCTATCTAAAAGAAAAAAGTATACAGGCTGTACATACATACACATATATTTATAAAACTGTGACAACACAAGGCAATGGATTTCGTCCCCTTAATTTAATAAAATGTAAAAATACCAGTCCACCGCCAGACAAAAGCCAATGCAGTCGTTGGCACGGCTGACTCCTTTCGTGCCGGTCTTTGGAAAAGTTATTTCTTGATTGACACTAGTCAGAGGTGCAACGCATCCTCCTAGTCTTTCCCTGCTCCCTGGCCTGTCTCTGGGGTCTCCCTGGTTGTTGGTCTGTCTGGCTTTGGAATGACTAACTCACGTGAGGGTGCTCCGTGCACCGCCTTTCCAGGGGACACCCCCAGATGGAATATTTCCCATAGAGTGGAGATGGAAGGGGTTGACCTCAGAGGAGTAGAGAAAGAGAATTCAGGCTCCCACCCGCCAGGGAGAGTGGAAAATTCAGCCTGGATTTCCAAGTAGACCGACATGAGCTGGGGTGGACAGTTAGGCATCACAGGCCAGGCAGCCTGGGTTGGACATAAACCCTGGATGCAGCCCCCTCAGCTCCTGGCTGAGGGTCAGGAGGGTACCCGCCCGGAATGCCTGGGGCTGCTGCTGAGCCTGCACCTGTGGCAGTGGGAAAGCCAACAGTGCCCAAGGCCCTGATCCCAGGTCAGCTGTTGCCATGGCTCTTGGTTTCTCAACAATCTCCCGATGCTATGCCCATCAAGACTAAATGAAAACCAGCCCCAACGAATGCCTGGCGAGCCAGTTACCGGACAGATGGCCTGAGCTGCGTAAGACATGCGTGGGCGTTAACTCATGCTCTGCCTCAGTCCCTCCTGATCATGGGGAGGCCCCGGATCAGGATGTGCCCAAGTACAGCCGGCCCAGAGGGGCATCCTGGAAGAAGACTGTGTAAAACCCGCAAGCATGGTCAGAAGGCTTGCCAGGGTGCCACTGCACTCAGGAGGTAAACAGATATTTACAAAACAGGAGTGGCTCATCAATCAACAGCAGGCCCTCTGCCACTTCCATCCATCCCAGTCCCTACAAATTCTTCAGGTATTAACAATAATTACAAAAATAAAAAAGAATCAAAGCGGAAATGGCAAGGAAGGGAAGGGACCTGTCAGACCTTGCTCAGCTTAACAATTCTGTACAGTAATGTCTAAAAATAAACTAAGGCAGCTGTATACATTAGCTGGCTCAGTTTCCATTGTAGGTTTACAGAATCCTCTGAGTAGGCAATAGGTTCTTAAAATTTTAGTACAAAAATTATTCATGAGTTGGTTACAAAGTTTCCATTTCCTTTTTTGAAAAACCTGTTCTTATTAAAGGAGGTGGAAAAAAAATGCACACAGCGCATGTAAACACCATTCTTGCATAAAATCCTGCTCCAAAGAACCACGATTTGTACATTAAGAAAAAACAAAAGCAGTCAGCCCTCATTTACATTCACAACACGTCTCCATCAGCTCTTCCACTAGGCGAGTGGGGAAGTCAAGATCATGTTCCCCACAGCGTCCTCCTGCGCCTGCTCCTGGCTGGCAGGCAGCAAGAGCCAGGGCTGGGCCCAGGCGGTCACAGCTTGGCTCGACACAGGCCCCGTCAGTGCATCCTCCACACCAGGCGGACGATGTAACGTAACAGTCGCAAGATCACCATTTGGGGCTGTTCTTCCACTGCTTGGTAATTATGCAAAAGTACCTGAAACAACAAAAGCACAGCTTTTAAGGTTCTTGCTAGTTATGAGGATGGGGTAGAAGGGGGTGTTCACATTTAGTAAGAGAATCAGCGACCTCATGTTCCCATCCCTCTTAGATACAGCACATGTCACTGAAGCATTAGCTACTCCGAGAGCTGGCTGAAGGAATTCCTCCATATAGGGAAGATTTCGCTACATAAAGCACAGGTATACACACACTCTCTCTCTCTCTCCTTTTTAAAGGTTTATTTATTTATTTGAAAGGCAGAACGACAGAGAGAGACCTAGATTTTCCATCCACTGCTTCACTCCCCAGATGGCTATACCAAGTCAAGGTCGGCCAAAGTGAGGAGTTTCGGCCGGGTCTTCCACGTGGGTGGCAGGCACCTGGGTCATCTGCTGCTGCCTCCCCAGGTGCCTTAGCAGGAAGCTGGATTGCTAGCAGAGCACTGGGGAGTCCCATGTAGGCAGAGAGCATTGCAGCAGCAGCTTAACTCAATGCTACGCCCTGCCTCCCTCCCCCTACCTTCCTGGTTTCCTCCTTTTTCAAACTGAGAAATAAAACAGCAATCAGAGGGTTTCTGGAAAAATGGAAGCGAATCCTTAGTCCTCAGGACTCCAGAGGGAGTGCACACACATACACACACACACACACACACACACACACGCACACACACGTACGTGCTACGGAGGAGCTATCAACCCCAGAGACGCAGCTGGCATCCTGTAAAGACTGCCGTGTGTGTGTGTGTGTGTGTGTGTGTGTGTGTGTGTGTGTGCATGTGTGTGTGTTGTGGAATGGATAGGGACACAGCAGGACCTTGAAAGATCTCACTACCTAAGCCTCTTGTGGGTGGCCAGTTAACACTTCCTGCAACCCAAGAGGCTTCAAAGTCTTGGGTCTTACAGAGCTCCGACCCCCCAAATTCAGTATCACTTCATGGGTGCAAGGCAACAGGAAAATAAAATAACGGAACACACAGCTTCAAGATCCTGAGCTACACCCCCTTCCCAGTTGGGGTCTGAGATCCCTGCCAGTTGCTTCCTGAATGACTAATCCACACACCCAACCACTCTGCGTGGCTGTCAGCTGCCCACAGCTTCCCCGAAGCTGCTGTATGCTCATGCCAAGGCAAGAACCACCATGCAGCAGGATGGACAGCCACCCCTTCCCTGACCCCAGAGGTCACCCGCAGCCACCAGCTGCAGGGGTTGCGTCCCTCTCCGCCCTGTCCGTGTGGCTCTCCAGGGCCTGCCCAACCACCACCACCATCATGGCCTTGGGATGGCGATAAGCCCAGGGCCTTTGACCTCCTCCTTCCAGAACCCAAGGGCAGGAAATGGGCTTTCTGTGCGTGATCCCTGCAGCGGTGCGCTGGGTAACCACAGTCCGCGATTTTTATCTACTTTACACACAAGATTGCTTTGTTTTGATTTAACTTTCAGAATTACTTTGCTCCTTCTGAGTGTGTGAGAATAATTTAGGGGAAGGGTAATTTTAGTGTAGACGAACACTAATGGGTTGAAAGAAGGCTTATTCAAACTAAAACCACAGCTTACTAAGACGAAGAATGCGCGTGCTGCCACAGGCTAAGTTACCGAGCCAGACCGGGAAGTCGCAGGCTGAGCCAGTGGCATCACCATTCGTGGTGTGGGCAGATGACGGCATCAACAATGGGGACACAGCAGGAGGAGGGTGGTTGTGATGCAGGCTGAGAAGGGTGATTGTTGCCCTGAGGCAATGCTGGCAAAGGGAGCAGACCAGGCCTGGTTGACTAGAAGCTGCATGGAGCCACAGCTGGCAGCAGCTGTCACGGCGGCATGGTCCGCACCTTCATAAAAGAGGTGAACAGTTGCTGTTGGACAACATTCAGCAGAGGAAGCCATGACTGCCAATTCCATCACACCAGCCCCAAACGCTTTCACAGCTGGCACTGCACTGCTGCTGGCCGTGGCACCTGCTTCACTGCCTTCTCCTACCTGCGGCTGCACACACATGCTTACTGGGCACACAACTTGGGTCTAGTGATGACAATGGGGAGGTGGCTCTGTAGCTGGGTGAGGACTCAGGACCTGGCACTTGGCATCACCTGTGTTCAAGCCCTGGCAGAGTTCCCTGCCTGCTCTGCTTTCTGCCATTTAGTTCCTAGAGCAGGGCCTTCAGGTCAAGGGGTTAGGAGAGAGCTCAAGGCAATTGCACAAAGTCCCCTGGGGCACAGGGCACTGGAGAAAGATCAAAGTAAGCGTGTACCAGTGTACTATGGCCACAGTAGTGTGTCCAGAGTAGAACTGTTTCAGAGGCTTTCTCAGTTAAACCCAGCCAAGGGTGAGATCAACTGCTCCCTGGCCAGGCACTGCAACTTGCTGTGGGCATGATCTTGGGGACATGAAATATAGGGCTAGCAAGATGACAAAAGCCTGCATGAACAAGCAGTGGATGTAAAATGGGCTACAACACCTGGACCTCCTGCTGCTCCTTGCAGCCCCACCTCCTCCTGAGATGCTGTGATGCTGAAACAGGGCATTGCTAACCCCAGGAGCTCAAATGGCACTGTGATTGGAGGTGGGTTCTTTGACAAGGTGATCCAAGATGTTCTTGTAGGAGCATACAGAGGTGAGATGGGCACCTGCAGGTCACCTGTGCACACCTGGCTCCTAGAGCATGGGAAGCCTATGCAGCCGTGGTGGATGGATGCCACCTTTCACTCATGCTATCATTTCTGGTCCTTCAGGCTCTAAGCAAAAGCAACACCTCTCAGGGTCAGGTAACGCTGCAAAATCTAAGTTACAAAAGGACTCTGGAAAGATGCATTGCCATCAGTATGTGGTGAGGGTGGTTACACTATGGAACCGCACCTGCTCCAGAGTGCACACAAGCCACCTGACCACAGGCTGGGGAGGGAGAGAGAAGACTGCCCCGCCCTCTCCACGGCTCCATGGAGCCTGGGGTAATTGACTTTTATGGCCATCCCGCAGGACCCTTCTGACCCCTGAGACATGCACAGCCTCTTGTTGCCCTCCTGGAACCAGTTCCCCAACAGTCCTTGTGGGAAAGGGCACCGGCCAACACTCCAGCAGGGGCCTGCTCTCAAGGCATAGGTCTGTGTACCCAGAGGGCCAGCCCAAGATAATCAACAAGATAATGCAGTAAAGACAATGCAGAGGTAAATAAACAATGAGAGAGAGAGAGAGAGAGAGAGAGAGAGAGAGAGAAGAGGCAGGTAGGGGTGTTGGGCAGAGTTAACCCCTCTGGTGAGCCTGAAGGAAGACCAGGATTTGGAGCAAAGAAGGGAAAACAGGTACTTCAGGGCAGGCCGTTGACCCGAGACACAATTTTCATGTATGTGGAGTATTGATTTCTTATAATAAGCCAGACTGCACAGCAATGTTTGCCTCATACAGACAGGGATACACTCTGCAGAGATGGTCAGGGCCTTGGGGACAGTGCTGCCAGCATTCACACGGGGGCTTCCTAAACAGCTCCCAAGATGATTCGGGTTTATGTGAGTGGCAGGTACCATGGGAATGCCCTCAGGCGGGCTGATGCTGAGCAGGACTGGAGTAGTCAGAGAGAGCGAGGGGCACTTGGTGCAGGAGAGCAGCGTGGACACTTAGACCTGCTGTTCTAAGACATGGCAGGGGCTGGGGGAGGGGGCGGTGGAGAGGGACTGAAAAGGCCACCAAGCCATCACCTAGCCTGTGTCACGCTGGGAATCCTCCACTTAACACTTGGAACAATCCAGCAAGTATCAGGAAATTCAGTCACTCTTTAAGGCCAAATCAACCACAGCCAGCAGCCATATTGTCTTGCTGGGCCCAAGCAAGCAGGTGTTGGGGAGACAAGAGGTGGTGGCCCAGGCACCTACAGACAGACCATAACTGTGGATTCAGCTTCTAGTCCTGCATGGAGCAACGAGCCTGTCCGTTGGAAAGCTGCCCAAGACACCCCAAGGGCCCAGGCACAGAGGAGGCACCCAGTGCTACTGCTTAACCGAAGGACTCGGCATACAACCTGGGATCCAGCATGGTCTCCCCAGGGTTGGCTGACAGCTGGCAAATCAGACCAAAGGGCGCACAACTGGTTTGAGGCTGCAAGGCTGGAGGTGGGGTAATTTGGAGCCCACACTGCCCACACACACAGCAGCTAACAGACAGACATTGGCAAGACTGGAAGCTCAGAGTGGGCTCTGGGGCCAGCAGCGGCTCTGCACATCACGGTGCTAGGGAAGGGCCTCGTACATCCTGCCTGGGGCTGCAGAGAAGATTCAGGCTGTGCATTGAGCACTGGGGCCCCAATGCAGCCAAGACTTCAGTGCAGACCCAGTGGGCCACCGTCTTGGGTATAAACCAAAGAGGTGTGCACTGTACAGTGAAGGTTTAGGGAGGTCACAAGTGACACCAGGGAAGCACACACAGCCACAGGTAAGGTAAGGGGCACGCACGAGGCAGTCTTCAAAACCTTTCCTGGCTGAGGTCCCTTCCAAGAGAAACCAGACAGCAGCCCTGGGATTTTAACTTGCCCGAAACTGGTCTCCTACAGAAGTTCAATGCTGAATGCCTGAGAAGTCCTAAACATCAACAGCAACAGATGGATCCTTAAGTAAGTCCTAGCCTGGAACGGGAGGTTGATTCTGGGCTGTGAGACCAGGAAGGAGAGAGCGAAATCTCTGCTTTCAGCTCACGACCTCCACGTGGGTGCAGTGTGTTCTCCCAGGGGCTGTCATGGTCACAGCTAAAGGTGGTTGGGGCAGATGGGGCAAGAAGCTCGATCCTGAGATTGTGATGTAAGCCTGCCTATTCTCTGGCAGACACGAACAGTGTGTATTTCAGATATACCTGTATACGTGTATGCCTGAGGCAATATTTGTGTGTGTATAGCAGAGTGCTTCAAAAGTTTGTGAAAAGCTGGAATTAAAAAAAGAGAGAAGTTTATTGTGGCGCAAAAGCACTGGAAGTCTGTACATGCTAGTTTCCTAGTAAGCTTTGTCTGTGTGAACATTTT